AAAAAAAAAAAAAAAATCAGAGGGTAAGTGGGGGGGCCGAAGCCTCAACCTCCTCTAAAGGAGGAGTGGGAGGAACAGAGAGCAGAAGCTCAGCCAAGGAAGCCCGAGTAGCCACGAAAATATTGTCATCATGCTACTGGGCAGCCTCTTCGTTCAGTTCCTCCTGAAAGTCCTCAGGCAACGGTGTCTCCCTATCCTTAGCTGACCCCAAAGCAGGCGCTGAAGGGGAGTGCTGCAAAGATGGAAGGCCTTGTTCTGTCTTATGATATTCATAGGAAGGGTCCAGGCAGTTCCGTACCAGATTCCAAAGAGAGAAGGCATCTATCTGCACAGTCTCAGGGCCATGAGCCTGATAGTGGCCCCTTAAATGGCTACCTACTTTTTCCCATGTAATTAAATTAACAGTACCTCCCTCAGGGAACCAAGGACAAACTTCCTCAATACACTGCAGAAACCTATCCAACTGCTTTTCCGTTCCACAAGCCTTTAACATAGATTTCAACATTTGCACAAAGAGAGTGCATTCCTTAGAATGTAAATGTCCCATGTTTTACTCAGGTCCCTGTTCTGGGAGAGCAGAGCCTGAGGTGGGGGGAGGGAATGAGAAAGAAAAACAAAGAACTGTAGGATTAGGAAGACTCACTCCTAGATAGGTGTGAACCATTTTATTCTTACAGTAAATAAAAACCGAACTACATAAACAGAAAATATCTTAATGCTAGCATCAGCAAGAAAAAGGTTAATGCTTGTGACTTTCTTGGCAAGATTACTATAACACTAACATCTTTGTTTTTTGTAAGTCTAAGTAAAACTACTAACATCTATGTTCTTTGAAGTTTTAAGTAAAGTTATTATTAAAGCAGGCTATATCCAGCCTACACAGACTAGAGGTCACACTATCTGAATCCTACTAAATCAACACTCTCAAGGGCAAACATTGAGAGAAGGAAGTACTGGCCAAGCTCTTGTTGGAGCCAGGCCAGGAACACAAGGACCTTGTCAAGCTTGTGCTTTTTAAGACATAAGGATTTTGTCAGCTTATGCCTTTGTCTCCTTCAAGTCTGGGTGATAGAGTGAGACTCTGACTCAAAAAAAACCAAAAATCTCTGCTACCATCCGGGTGATGGCTCACACCTCCTATCCCAGGACTTTGGGAGGCCGAGGTGAGAGGATTGTTCAAGACTAGCCTGGGCAACATGGCGAGATCTCACCTCTACAATATATCAAAAAATGAGCCAAGCGTGGTGGTGTGCACCTGTAGTCCCACCTACTTGGAAAGCTGAGGAAAAAGGATCGCCTAAGCCCAGCAGGTAGAGGCTGCAGTGGCCTTGAGCGTGCCACAGCATTCCAGCCTGGGCCACAGAGACTCCAACTCAAAAACAAACAAACAAAAAAACACACACAAAAACTGCTCTCCGCTGGGAGGGTGAAATTTCTGACTGACATTCAAGCAGAAATGGCGCCCCAAGGGCTTTCCCATGAGCCCCCTCATGAAATGCCTCTAGCCAACTTTTTCCTTCCTGCAGCAATTCTAAATGTTACTGTTAAAAGCATTTCACACCAAGTATCACCAAAGCACAGATGCTTGAGGCCTTTGCAACTGCTGTTCCCTCTTCCTGGAATGCTCTTTTCTTTCCTAAACAGGGGGCTTCTCCACCTCTTCAAGGGCAATGTTCAGATGTCCCCTCTTCAGAGTCCCACCTTGCCTAACGTCTAACTTCATCTCTTGCCTTGCTTTTTCTTCACGTCACCACCACCCGATTCACGTAGGCGTTTGTGTTTCCCCTCCTTGAAATTTAAACTCCAGGAAGGTAGAACCTAGCTAGCCATTCAGTAATTTTTTGTTGAATTGTCAGTATATGGTCACTATCCCAATTCTGGACACAAATTAATGTATATGAAAATAAGCTAAAAATGTACGGTAATACATAAAAGTATGGATTATTGTCTGTTGTTGGGAGCCGGCCTTGGAGGTCTGCCTGATTGACAAAGTCCAGGTGCGCTGAGGACCCCCGGCCGCAAAGCGAGTCCGGGCAGTTGAGGCCCTTCTGTCTTCCGTCCTTGCTGTTGGTACAGCTGAAGAAATTCTGTGCAGTCATGGAAGAAGATGGCATGTTTATGCGAAGTACTCACAGCTAACCTGAGAATGTCATAGTTCATTTTTCCATTTTCCCACTATGCTGCTTGGCCTTTTCTAATATATGCAAGGGTTAAACTCTGAAGCACATCAAGAATGCTTTCTTTCACTTGGTTATAAGTTACTAGATACTGCTTAAGTAATAAATGATATAAGTATATCCACTCTTTATTTGATTTAGGATTATGCAGTTTAGTGTTTAGACATAAGGTTTTTTAGAAGCACAAGTTTATAGTAAGTTCATTATGAATTCATTATAAGTTCTAACACTTATCTAGGAGTTATGCAGGTGATTTATAACACTGTTTTCACTGACTTAGGATAAAGATTAATGCTAAGGTTTTTACTTAAATCAATAGTTAAAACTCTAAGTTAACATTTATAAAGTGGGTTTTCACTGAACTCATAATATACTAATCAGACACTTTTATGATAACTTAGCTAAAGACAGAAAGCAACCTTGGGGGCCTGGGAAACATTACTAAAAGCTTCTTTTGAGTTTTCTTTAGAAACAAGCACTGCAGGATAAGAAAAGTAACGAAGACACCTGGACAAGAAAGGCGATTACAGAACTCTGAAGGCCATAAAGCCCCAGAAGGAAGACTACTGCTAACTTTCTGGAGACAGTTC